AACAAAAAAAGGGGGGGGGGGGGGGGGGGAGGGAACTGAAGGGACTTTTGTTGTTTTTGTTGCTGCCGTTTTTTTTTTTTTTTTTTTAATTTCCTTTACGTTTATTTTTGCCACCACGTGTCAATTATTTTGGTGGTGTATTTGTTTTCCGCTCTCTTTTTTTTTTTTTTTTTTTTTTTTTTTTTTCTCCTGTACTTTCCTTCTCTCTCCCTCTCTGTGTGAGCACCTTTTCTTTTTTTTTTTTTGTTTGGCATGGGCTTTAAAACACACACAAAACAGACATCGAGAGACGGAAGTTTATCTCCCCGCAATTCACTGAAATGAAGTTTGGTGTGAGAGACCGGCGGGATGCAGACGACGACGACGACGAGGTGATTGCCACGTACAACGTCTACGCATCGCCGCTGCAGCAGCAATTGCACATCTTCCAGTTTCCACTGAGGCGCAAGACGCAGCCCTATGAAACCGACGAAGTGCGACTCTTTGTGACGGAAGGGGTGACCCATGTGGGCAAGGAGGCAACACCGCCATCCGCGTCATCGGCGTCCATTTTGTCTCCATCGTCCAGGCTGACGATGCACTGCCGCCTTGACACGTTTGGCTCCAGTTCCTTCGTGGAGCCATCACACCAGCAGCAACGGCAGTTGCCGATGCAGCAGACAGAGGATAGGTTCTGTAGGGGTGAGCAGCAGCGGAGAAACTCGTATCACTACGCGCTGCAGTCTCACCCCTTTCAGCCCCGATGTGATTATGCTGTCGGGTTTATTGTCGATGGGGCAATTCATCTGACTCCAGTCAGTACCATTCAACAGTTCACACCTATTGTCAAGCCAACGACGCTTATTGCCGCTCATCGTGTGGGCGATGAATTTACAAGCGTGCAATCCACTCCAATTGTTCCCGGACTTGCCATTTCTGACCGCATCAATCGAGAAATGTTGCGTCAGCGCAGCGTCATGTTGAACACGGACGCAGCGACAGCAAAGGAGTTGCAGTACTTTCCCATTGGTTCAGTGGAAAGTATGGCCATGCGTCGTCGGCTGTGTTCAACAACCTATGACGTCTCCTCTCTCGCCCAAACTGTAGGGAACCAGCGGTCAAACACGCAAACGGAAGATAGCCTGTTTCCACCGGAACTTCTCATTTCAGGTGGAATCTCCGGTGGGGAAGATGCGGCGGTTGCTAGAAGTTTGCTCCGGCGCTATGCACATCGCTACAGCGTCTTGGATCAGGTGCTGGTCCTCCTACAGCGTTGTCAAGTGATGAAGCTTACGGAACTGCGTGAGCTGGTGGTTTCTCCGGATCAGACGCTCGTTCCGCCACCACCATCACCATCCACTGCACCTCAACAGCCGCAAGGCGGTGTGACCGATAAACAGCTGCTGGAGGCACTGAGAGAGGTTGCTGTGTGGATGCACGGGGTGTGGGTATCGAAGACGGCGTCCCGATTTAAGGGCACAGTCGCCGCCCTGCGTGAGGTCATTCTTTTGCAGTTCTTTGAAAGTGAAGATGCCTCGTTGACTCGGTCTGAGGTGAACAAACTTGTGAATGGCACCGCATTGAGACGGACGGTTAAAGAGATATTGGAAAGCGTCGCAACGCTAAATAGCAACGAGCCTGACCCCACAAAACGTGTATGGCGTTTAAGGCACGTTCCCGCTGACGCGGCTCTACGGAGGGCGATGCTGCAGGACGCAGAAAACGTGCACAGACAGGAGGTGACGTTTCAACGCATGCAGTGGGAACATTTTAGACCGCATATTAAAGCCCATATAAATGCGATTAACGCCGGCATGCCAGTATCACGGCTTCTCTTGGCTACGCGGCGACATGGGATGGGCACGGATGCAACGAAATTAACCGGTGCAGCGGTGGTAGCGGCAGGTGCGTCTCCTGCCTCCTTCAAGGAAGATGATCTGGCACCCATTGTGGCGCACATTCGACGACTTTTTTTGGAGTATGGTGTGTTAAACAAGCAGCGGACGAAGGAGTTAGTCATGAAGGGGAAGCAACAGCATTACCCAGACGCGACAAACCCAATGCTGAGTGCGGCTCTGCAGCGATGTGTACAGACATTTACAAATGCCACGTGGGTGCTGAAACAACTTGGTGAGCCGAAGGTGGATCGTTACAGACCGTTAATCCTGGAGACGGCGGTGGAGCTTGTGAATTTTGAGACACGTGCTTTCCATGCGTTACTTGAGGAGAAGCGACGGCAACAATCCGCGGATGAAGGAGGGGGAAGCGATGGAGATGGTGTAAACCATGAAGAAATGCAAAAGATCGTCTCACGTGTGCTGGCAGAGGTGGCAGTCTTCAAACAGCACGAGAGACTGTGGCACATCAAGAGCGGGAATGTGATGATGGAGTAAAGACGACAATAGAGAGTGAGTGGAGAAGCAACTGAACATACAAGTAACATGGGTGACGCATGTATGATGCAGCTTCTTTAACGGTCTTGCTAGGCGCTAAGAAACCGGGGCGATCTAATTTTTGGATGCTTTACAGATGGAGGCACACGGCGCGGCGTATTTTCTTTTATTATTATTATTATTATTGTCTTTCGGTGGTATTCATTTGTCCCTGTGTTTATGCGTGTTTTCCCTGTCTTATTTTATTTGTGTGTTTCTGTCACGTCCATAGTTTGTGGAGGAAGGAAACGGTAAAAGGGGGAAATTGAGGCAACCACTGCGTTCTGCAGCGAGGGAGGCCGAATAAAAAGTCCACATTTTTATCTTTGATTTGTATTCATTTATTAAGAAGGAAGGGGGAAGGCAAAACAGGCGGCAAAAAATAAAATCAACAAGAAACTCAAAGTGGTAACAAGAGTGGGTGGGTAGGAAAAAGAAAAGTGGAAAGGCATCACCTTTTCTTTGTTGTTGTTCTTTTATTATTATTATTATTGCCACTCTTGTGAGCGCAAAACCCACAGGTAGTTTAAGAATACGGTTGTTAAGATTTGTTTGTATTTGTGATTACCGAAAGGAACTAAGGAGGGAACGAAGGAAAAGGTAGGTCTAAGTGAAGACACACACCGTTCTTTTTGTTCCTTTTATTTTTTTGTTTGTTTTTCTTTTTAAACCATTTTGGGTGGCACTGCTGCTTCTGGTGGTGGTAGTGACAGCGGTGTATGCGTGTTGCGGTGCTGATCCATCCACAATTATAGATTTGTACATATTTCATCTGTAAATATGGACACCCTCACCTATGTATGCAAGGAGCGGCATGCTAATGCGGTACGGTTTGAGGTGCCACTTATCTCCGTTAAGGCACATGCGTTTGGTGACGATGTGCCTGCGTTGATGTCGTCTCATCGCCGAATTCTTTGTATGAATGTGAAGCAATCGAACCGGCTTCGGGTTCTTAACCGTCAAGGCAAGTACGCCGAGACAGATGTGCGTGCGCCGGTGCTCCGTCAATTGGTCTCCTCGGAGGGTCACCTGGACCACTGCGCCTTTTTCGCCGTTGGTGGAGAAGAGGTTTCGCGACTGAAGCCTGTGAATCACGCGAATGGAGAAATCCAAATCCTTTTACGGGAGTTGAACCTACGGGAAGAGCTGTACGGAGTTGCGGTGGGCAGCGGTGACATTGCCTATGCGTTGGGAAAAGCACACATTTTTGAAGTGGACATGGAGACTGCCACCAAAAAGGCGGTGATGGATCTTGCGTCGAAGACAGTTGTGAGGTACCCGGTAATCGCCTATCACCACGAGGCGAAGTTGTTGCTTGCCCCTGCGAAGCAAAACTGCCTCGACCTCATCTCCACCAACACCCGCAAGAGTATTCTGCCGAAGGTGTGGGAACCACATGGGGGATTGGTCCCGACAACAGCCTTTTTTGTGCAGTTTCATGCCTTTGAAAATGAGTCCGCTGGAAACATATTTATTGTCACAGGTGCCTGTGGCAACACGGAGCTCCGTCTCTGGTGCTACAATACGACGAAGCAGACCTTTTCACTTATGCAAGATCTTTGCATCTCGGTCGAAAGCGTTGCTGAAACGACGTCAGCTGCAAATGAAAAAGAGGAATTTTTCCTGGTCAGTTATACGCCCACGGAGGAATACATCACGTTGTGCTCCAGGCGTCATCCACTTGCAGTTGTGGTGGAATTACATCAAAATAACTTCAAGATAGATCGTATCACCTCATGGAAATTGCAAGGTCCTGTACTTTCCAGTGTGGCGATGGTAGGTAAGGTCGCGGAGTCGGCTCTTAGCGGGTCTGTAGGGTACCAGCTAATGCTTGCTGTTCGTACCGCAAGCGGTTTTTATGAAGAAGTCTTGGATGTAGAAAAGCTTGTTGGTGCTTCCAATACAGCCGCAATAAAACAAAACTCTGTTGCCGCGTGGTTTCCAGATAATGAGACGGAAGTCAGTGTTATGGCAACGGGCCTTCCAACGGCATTAACGGCTGTGTCCTCCTCTGTTTTGGGCGACAAGACGACGAATGCGGTTTCGCAGGCTATGGCATCGAGAATAGTGCGTCAACAGGCATCTCAGTTCTGTGACAAATTACGTAGCATCGATGAGCGTGTGGTGGACCTGCAGAAGCGAGCCTCGGAAGTGATGCGGCTCTTTCAGGAAGCACGTGCAAGAGAGGAAGCACAGACGATTGGCCGCAAGTTTGCGGCACGCAATAAAGGACGATTGGAGCTGCAGCAGCCACAAGCGCAATCCCCAAAAGCGGAATCCCCCGACACCCTCAATGCATCTCAACAAAACTTTTTGGATCAAATTCACTCCATGTTGGACGAAGTGGATGCGGCGGCGGCGGAGTCAGCGCAGGAAACCGTGAAGGTACTCCTTACCCAACGCCTGAAGGATGCGGTGGCAAAGGGTGCGAAGGAAGCAGAGCAGACGGACCTTGGAATTGTGGCCCCAACTATTCGCTCTACCGATAGCATGCAAGTTTTTAGTAACGCCATTGATTCCGCCATGCGGTTACTTGTTCGTGCCATCAAGGACCAACATGCTATGATGCAGTCTCCCCTTAAGGCGTCCATCACCGCCTCCACCGAATGTGCTACCAAAGCCAAGGAGTTTGGTGCATCGCTTAAAAATGAGATGCAGAAGCTTTTAGATGAGATTAACGAAACGAAAAAAGCCGTATCGCAAATGAATGTTACGGCAGTACAGGTAGACCCCGACGTTCTCGTATCGAGGGCTGTTGCAGCAGCTGAGGCAAATGATTGGAGCACTGCCTTTACGATTGCCTTGGAGGCATCTGACATTACCGTGTTGTTGGGTTTTCTAGAGCACAAGGTGTGCGTGGATAACATGTCTACAATTGTTCGCCCACAGAAGATCTCGTTGCCTACTTTTCTGAGTCTGTGTCTGCAGTTATCTTTTGAATTGGATACGCAGCCGGGGTCTATTCCTTTGCGGATTCAACTTTTGCATCTCTTCTACGTGGAGTGGGATGATGCATTAAAAGAGATCAAGCAAAAAGCAACGGGAAATGCCAGTCAGGAGAAGTTGATGTTTGAACTCACAAAACGGGAGATTCACAATGTTTTGGAGCAGCTGGCTCTTGTCGAGGACCATTCGCTCGATCGCCGCAGCCGCAATCAACTTCGTCTGTTGAAGAAACTGATGAACTCTTTCCTCGCTGAGGCGTGAGAAGAGGGGGTGGGGAGGGAGGAACCAAATCAAAATACTGATGCGAAAGAAAAAAGGGAGGGAATAACGGTTGATTGTGTATGTTAGAGAGAGAGAGAGAGAGAGAGAGAGAGAGAGAGAAGTAAAAAAAAAAGCGTGTAATTTGAGCGCTGCGTGGGATCCATTTCTTTTTTATTTATTTTTTTTCGGTTTCTAAAGAGAGGTGAAGGGGGGTAGGGTTAGGGTATATATTATAATGTATATCCATTTACTGTAAAAAGAAAAGAGGAAGACATCACGTTTAAGGGGGGGGGAAGGCAGTGAAAAGAAGAAGATTTGGCGATGTGGTGCTTATGAAGGAAATAAGGAGAGGAGACATATGAGGAGAGGAAGATTTAAATAAATGAATATATATATATATATATATATATATATATATATATATATAGAGAGAGAGAGAGAGAAGGGAAGAAAGAGTGTATTTGTCTGTGTGTGTGTGTGTGTGTTTGTTTGTTTGTTTGTTTGTTTGTTTGTTTGCGAGCATGAAAAAGAAGCCGAAAAGTAAAGTTGTGGTGGCAGCATGCTCTTATTTTGGATGAGTGATGTGAATAGCGTTTCTTCTTCCCTGACTATTTTCTTATTTTTTATCTAACAGGGTGCTGCTAAAAGAAAAAATGAAAACGGAGCAATCGACGGTAGAGACGTTAAGAAATGGGATTTTTCAAAGTCACACTAGCGTCCTTGTTGCATATGCCGACACTTATTTTGGCAGGCGTCTGTTTTCTCAGCTCTATCAGGATAGCAACGCTGATAAGGAGGGGAAATCCTACAAACTGTTTGCGTGCACCTGGGAGAAGGATGGGGCGCAGGTGTTAGTTGAGGAGAGAGTGGCTGCGGCTCTCTTGACGGGGGCGGAGTTGGATGCTGCTGAGACGGATGCTGCCGATACCGATTTTGCTCAAGCATTGGATTCATTGAGCGGAGCGCAAGAAGCCTCGTTGGCGCCGCCGCCAGTGGCTACGACGGTTTTCGCGAATGATCCTGGCACGGACTCTTTGCGTGTCTTCTGGCGGGGTGACACAATGGCAATGCTTCATGCGATTCTTCAGGCGGACTGCATCGTCATGGAGATGCGGCAGGCACAGGACGTGTTTGATATGATGCATGCGCTCAGCACAAAGGAGCATCTGAAGAGAAAACGGATCATTGTCGTTTCCTCATTGTTGACGTGGTACGCAACACCGCCGATTCAGATGGATCCAATGGACGAGAATGGAGGCAAAAGCAACACGGAAGGCGATTTTGCGGAAAAGGAGGAAGAAGATGATGAACTGGATGAGGAAGAAGTTGAAGAGGAGCCTCGGCCGCCGGATCAGCGTGAAGTGGACGCAATTCTTGGTCAGTTCGACTTTATCGAAGGCGAGGACAACGACAACGACAACATCAATGACGAAAATGGCAATGAGACCGAGTATAACGTGGAACTCTTTACGGAAGATCAATACAATCGCCGTATTCCACACGCCAAGTACTACAACTGGCGTGAGGCAGAACGTGTAGTGGCTGCGTGGAACTCCGAGGAGCGAAATATCCAGACATGCGTAGTTTTTTCGGGTCTACAATATGGGGAAGGCGAGGATGCGCTCCAACCGTTTTTTTCGCAGGCGTGGAATCGTGAAAAAAGAGGTTTGCCCATTTACGGTGACGGTACACAACTTGTACCAACTGTACATATACGTGATCTTGTGACTTTTACAAAAAGACTGATTGAAACGGAGGAACCGCCTGCTCTTCCGTATGTGTTCGCAACGGATTCTGGAACGGTGTCGTGGCAGCGTATGGTGAACGCGATGAATCATGCGTTTGGTGGTGAAAAGACGTTCCACGTACCATCTCAAGAATATGCTCTTTATAGTAATGTTGAGCTTTTTACACTGAATATGCGTGTTGATAACCAGACGATGCAAAATTTGATGCCAGCTGCCGAGGATTGGGTGGCGCAGTCCGGTTTCGTTGCCAACATTTCTAAAACTGCCTTTGAGTACGTTACAGCCCATCATTTGCAGCCGATTCGTCTTGTGGTTCTCGGTCCACCACTCTCCGGAAAGACGTACCTGGCAGAAGCGTTGGCGCAACGGCACTATCACCTGCCGACATTCACAATGGAACGAGTGCTGGAGGAGTTTAAGGCCTATATTGCCGCTTTAAAGGAACGACTAAAGAAATTCCGGCGCCATCTGTACGAAACGGAGAAGAAGCGGCGAGAAGAAGCAAAGAAGCGGGCCTTCTTGCGTTTTCGTAAGAAGGCCGGTGATGGGGAAGGCGAAGATGAAAAAGAAGACGAGACGGAGGCAACGGAAGCAGGGATGCAGTCGGAAAATGGCGCACGTAACTCCTCTGCTGCAGATGAGGTGCCAGGCGGTAAGAAGAAGCAACGCGTTACTGTTGGCGAAAAGGACAGTAGTGACATGGAGGAAAACCTGGTGGATTTTACTTTGACGGAAGAGGAACTGCAAGCCGTGGAGGAACTTGTGGAGGAGTGGTTTCAGCATAATGATCGTGCCACGCAGCTACGCGAGACGATTGCGTCGATGGAACGGGTGCTTGCAATGCGAATAAGATTGCAACCGGCCGCAAACGCCGAGGCGTTGGGCGCCACGAATCCCAAAAAGAGAAAAGAACTGGCAAAGTCCAAACGAGGCAACCGTTCAGGAAACAAAAAACACACCACAGAAGAAGAAGACGCATTGAACGAACTGCAAGAGAATGCACCGTTTCAAGACAAGGCGCTTGCGCTGATGATGCGATGGCGTTTATCTCGTGCGGATTGCCGTAACCAGGGCTATGTGATGGATGGTTTCCCAGAGACTGTAACGCAGGCACGCCTGGTTTTTGGCGACGCACCCCTCGAAATCCCAGAGACCATGGAAGAAGCAGCTGCAGGAGGCGCCTTTGCTTCCAATAGCAACCTCTCAGTATTGAGAACGCATGAGGTAAATGCTGCCCCACCCTCGAAAGAACCATGCGAAGAGGCACGGTTACCATCGTTTGTTTTTATACTTGACGCCGCTGAAAATTATCTGCTGGACCGTTTAAAAGCGCTCTCAGAAAAGTTGAATGAACCACCTGGAAATGAGGAAAAACGCCTGGCACGCTTTGAGGATGCAATAACAGTGTATCGAAAGCAGTTTCTGGACACAGATTACTCCCTCTCAAATTTTTTTGAGTGCGCCCGCACGGTTGCGAAGACACTCACACCCGGTGGCCGTGGTGTGACGGTGTCTTTTTTAAAAGTTGATGCGGAGCCGCTTTTGTCACCGCCTCCACCAGAGTCGCAGTACTCTGTCGCGCCGCCCAGCGAGGTGGAACGGGTCATCTGTGAACGGGTGGGGAAGCCGCGGAACTTTGGACCTACACCGCAGCAACAGTACCAAGAGAAGGTGCGGGAAATAAAGCTCCTGGAGGAGGAGCGTCAAAAGGAACTCAGGGCAGTTATGGAACAGAGCGAACGTGAAAAGAATGAATACATACGTGAGAGCGAGCAACGCTCACAGGTCGAAAACACCCGTCAGGAAATTGAGGTCATGGATCGAAACTCGTTGGAGCTGCGAAAGCTTCCTCTGCGCGAGTACCTGCAGCACAACATTGTGCCACTGCTAAGCAAGGGTCTTGTGGAGGTCTGCAAGACACGCCCGAAGGACCCCGTTGACTTTCTTGCAGAGTGGCTGATGCGTCACAATCCACTCGATGATTCTTGCTTTGAATTATAGTGGTCTTGGTCATATGATGTTTTATAGCTCTTGTAATTATCTCCAATTTAAATGGATGCCCGGATGTACGTTAGTATTTTATTTTTCCTCATTCAAGATATACATATATATATACATATTCTTTACTATTCTGCTTCTCGTTCAATTCTCCGCCTTTTTTCTTGCGGAGCACATGTGCCCCATGAAAAATGGACTGTAGAAACACGAGCGAGAGAGAGAGAGAGAGAGAGAAGATGGGGAGGTTGGTGTGTGTTTTAGAGTCGGTGTGAGTTGTATTGGTTTGTTGTTGTTGTTCTTTTGTCGTGCCGGCACGATGGGAAGAAAAATAAGACACCAAAAAATGCGGATTTCCATTTGGTGAAGAAATCCCTTTTTTTTTTTTTTTTAGAGCAGCCAAACGCACAGGCAGGGAAACAGGGAAGAGGCGCGTACCACACACACACACACATCTCCTTTTTTTTTTTTTTTGGTTTTTAATGTACGACTCATGCTCTTCTGTCGATGGTGAAGGCGGGTTTTCCGTCCCTGTCGATAAAAAAAATATACCCGCACGCAAAAGCATGAGATCCCTCTTTGCACAGGATGCGCTGCAATCGAAACAGGGTGTTACTTCCTTGCGCTACGAGGATCAAAGTAAGAAAAACAAGAATGTGTCACTTTCTGTCATGGAGGGAAATAGTGCGCCCGGTTACCCGCCCAATGCTCCATCACCCCTGCAGACCGCTGTACAGGCGGTGACAATTGCATACAGCGGCGACACGTCGATGGGGGCATGTGTAGTCGCCGTTTGTGTGCCGCACCCAAACGCTCCGATTGCCACTCCGCTTATTGCTATTGTCGACCGCGAAAAACGTCCACGGTGTCGTGTTCCAATGGATGGAGGCCTGCAATTTCTGCAGAATGAATCTTCACCGCAGTATGCCTCATTATATGATCCTAGCTTAGGCTCTCACTGGACGCTCATGTTTAAAGGACGGCGAGAATGCACAGAGTTTTTTTCAGCCGTCCACACCACAGTTCACTATACGGAAATAGACATTGGCGCTGCACCACGTTTTGTTGAGTGGAATAATGAAACGAACGCTGAAGAAGGAGTACTACAAGTGAAACTTGCCAGTGGCGATGTCGCCTCAATCTCCTATATGGCCTGGCTGCTTCGTCGGATGCCTGGCACTCGTTTTTTTTCGATTGGCAAAATGGTCGAAGAAGTTCCTCCAGAGGCGCCATGTGAGGTATTGGTTGGCGATGGTAGTCTGATGGCGGGAATTGAAGAGGCCCTTGTTGGCATGCAGAGGGGCGCCTCACGATTAGTGTTTGTGCCGCCTAAGAAGACGAGTATTCGGATGGGCATGGGCAATCCGGAGGTCTCTCCATCTGACACGGTCGTGGTGCATCTCACCTGCCAGGATGTCGCAGTGCGTTCTGACATGCGAGGTGGTCACAAAGCAACGGTGGCTTCTCCTTTGGAAAAACGTTTTTCCAACAGTGGGACGCAGGCTAAAACAACGTCACCAGCGCCGGTTACGCAAACTGAACCCTCGTCCAAGCCGGTGCCGGATGCCCCTGCGGTTGTGGGAGGTGATCTTAGTACTCTTTTGCAGGCCATTCTTCTACAGATGCTTCAGCAACAGCAAAATAGTAGTGGCAGTAGTATTAGTAGTAGCAATAATACCAACAACAACAATAATAGCACAGGATGTGACTTTGGTAACGGCGTCAGTGGGCAATGGAGTGCCCTGGAGCGCAGCATTGATCGAGTTCACATTCAACTATCCTCGCTTTATGAGAAGATAGATCGTTTGGCCATTGCAGAAACACTCGAAAAGAATAACGCGGCGATTGAACGAATAGTAAAGAGGGTAGTGGGAAAAGCTCCGGCGGGTGAAGTAGATGTAGAGGAAATGGCAAAGGACAGGGATGGGCTATTGGCCACTATTGAGCGCCTTAAGAAACGCCTTGAAGAGGAAACAAACAATTATCACCGCGCCCTTGAGGCGATGGGACGTCACAAGGACGAAGTTCACGGTTTAAAAAATGATTTGCGCATTGAACAGGAAACGCATGAGTCGCGTATGAGGCAGCTGGAGGAGCATAATCGCTTGAAGTTTGTCGAGATGGAGGTGCGGCACCGGCAGGCAATTGAACGTGTTGCCGAAGAGAAACTTCGGGAGGGCCGCGAAATAGGCCTTAAGGAGGGTCTGCAGTTGGGCAAACAAGAGGCCCTTGAGGCAGCTGGTGGGCACAGTGATCGCGAGTGGAAGGATCGTTTTTTCGCCAGCGAACAGCGCGCACTCCAGTTGGAAGCTGAGATGCAGGAACGAGAGTCACACCACATCTCGGAACGAAGAGGCCTACAGGAACAGATCGACGCATTGCACGAAATGACAGAGAAATTGGATCAACGCGCGCAGCATGCGAGGATAACCCGTCAAACTGGAGTAGAGGAGACGTCACGTCAATGCAAGCTCCTGCGCCGTGCTATGAACGCGGCGTACACGCACATGGAAATACAACTTTCCGGAATGGATGAGACTGTAAATGTGACGGACGTACTGCAAATGTTGATGGTCGCTCTCAGGTCTGAAACAGACACATTTATCGACGAAATAAAAAAGCAAGCGGAATTTTTTTGTGGATTGGATTCCCAAAGTGAGGTTCCCATGGAGGGTGACAAGTCGAGAGTGCAGACTGACGAAAACGCCTCGGACCATTTAGAAGCGACCGAGGCAGAAGCAATGGATAAGAAGCGAACAACTGCTCTTTTTCCTGGCAAAGAACAAAAAACGTCGATGACTACAGAGCTGGCTGAGGACGAATGCGTGAAAATTGACGAACTGCCACCCGTGCCGCCGCAAGATTTGTCATCTTTTATGTGTGACAATCCTCCCAATGTTTTTCTCGAGTCAGTGGAGCCGGTTGCAAAGGATGATGACATTAGCCACGACTTTGTCAGAAAGGACGAGAATAAAAACGGGGACCTCTGCAAT